TATATATATATATATATATATATATATATATATATATATATATATATATACCTATATGGCAAAAAAACCCGGTAGGTTTCAGTGCTTTTTAGTTGATAGAAAAAATTTGTTTGAATGTACAATAAAACATTAGCAAAGTTTTTGTTGATTTCAGCTACCATTTTGCTATTTTAGCTTTACCTAGCCTTTTGCTAAATTTAGATTTTAGTTAGTGTTTTGCTACTTTTAGCTACCATTTTGCTACATTTAGTTTTTGCTGCACTTGTACTATTTTTACAGTTCTGGTTATATTTTCGCTACATTTAGCTTTTTGTTTACGGTTTGCAGCTTTTAGCTAGCATCTTCCTACTATTAGCTTTTAGCTACTACCTTATTTATGTTAGCTTTTATGTAGGGTTCTGCATCCTTTAAATTTTACAAATGTTTCTGTTTTTTCAGAAGATTTCAGCAGTTATTGAGCACAAGTATTCACACTTAATTTTTACAGAAAGTGCAGTTTCTCTAGTTGTTTTAGAAGAATTTATAAAACATTTTATGAAAACAGTACTTTATGAACCATCACATTATCAAAGTGTCATGTTCCAGTTATTCCAGAAAAAAAAAAAAAAAAAATCCTAACAGAAATGTCACGGGTTGTGCCCAAACTGCTACAGCTAGGTACTACAGCAACATAAGGATTTATGAAATTATGTTCAAATGAACTATTGAATTTTTTTTCAAGAAGATGTCACAGCCAGCATCGAACAAAGAAGTATTAAAGTAAATACCTGCACCAGGTATCCTTTATCCTTATCCTTTAGTTCAATATTAAATAAGTGATAATCTTAAAATAAATCATATTCTTTGGGAGGCTTGCCTGCATCCTGAATGGACCTTTTAGTTTGAGTCCTCTGCATTTTGTTGTCAGACTTGAGTTCCACCTTCTCTGTCCACTAGAGGTCCTCAGTTACTTTCCTTGTCATTTTGCTTGTTCCTGTTATACCTGCTGTTCTCGTTTGTATTTCAGCCTCCAGTTTTTCACTGCTCATTGTTAAAAAGTAATAACTGGATGCGCATCAATAAAAGGTTTAACTGTTGGAGGAGTCAACACAATTCAAGATGGCGACTATAGCCAACTGACCATAGAAAACTCAATATACAACATAACTCTTACAGATGTGGTCAAATTTGACGTGCTAACAGATTCATCACCAACACAGACTTTGAGCACTATCAGATTGTGCAAGATTTTACAATATCACATGAGAATTTCCATAATATTGTTTTCAAGATTCAATAAAAGGGCTATAACTCGGTCATTTCTCATAATGAAATAATATTAGTTTACAACTCTGGCAGGTGGTGGGTGATATGCTTTAAAATGAGTCAAAGTGCAAAGTTCATCCTTGTTTTATTTTATTTTTTTTACCAAACTGCTTCCTTTGTGCTTTTGGGGCCATTTTTTAAACTGTTAAAGGTGAAAATCTGACATTGAATATATTTTAAACTTTACTCTTTAATTCGAGTTCTTTTTCTGCATAAAAACACTCATAGTGTTTAAGTGTTCAGATGAAGTGAGCAGCAAAAATATGGAAATCAGAAAAGCACTTTCTTTATCCAATGTGAAAATGAAAAATTTAAATGTAAGCTGACAGATTCGAAGGTAAAAACATGAGAAACATTTAAAGCAGTTCTGGAAAAATATGAAAACAGTAAAAGGCCTTTGCTCCAAAGTGTCACATGATGTTAAGTGACGTTGATCAATTTCATTTTTACAAATTACTTTAAAAAAAACTTTAAATAGTCTGTATTCCAAGACGTCAGACACATGTATAACCATGGTTGTTTTCTTTCTAAATATAATTTTGGTAAGCTTTAAGTTAGCTTCATAATCTCTGTATCATATGACTCACAGACACACACAATGTGACCAAAACTTTACCAAAAA